CATTGGCCGAAAATGGCTCATTTTGGTCAAAAATCGAGAATGAGTATCGAATGGCTCATTCTTGCATATAAAATTTCAAGCACAAAATGAGCAATTTTCTCACATTCTGTATGAATGACGTTCGAATGCATTCCACATATGTTCCAAATGCAAAGGAATCTATTGAACATACCCTAAATGAAAGCTCTTCATGGCATTTTGACAGTTTGTAAAAGCTGTTTTGACATATTTACAAAAAAAGAAATGTTTAGTAGTTTTATTTCAGTTTGAATTGTTACCATGAGAACGAATGAAATACAACGAATGTAAACACTTTCGAATGAGTCATTCAAAATGAGCCATTTTCGGCCAATGTAAACGCCGTATAATATACTTCTTTATCGCTTTAGATGTATTATGATCGCAGGCGGCTTATAATTTATGTGTAATACATACGCTAATTTTAATGATGTAATCAAATCAGGCTACAGAATATTAATTTTTCTATTATTATTATTACATTTTTCTCCATTTATAGAACTAGAAAACACTGCATTTTATAAGTACACATAAGTAAAATATATAAAATTATTTCTTGGAAACATTATGTATATTAAAGATGCAAATAGCTAACAATAATAATATTAATTTTAAAAGATAATAAAAAATAAAAATTATTGTTAATAAGCATTTCAAAAATATAACAAAAAAGGTAATCACTTTATTTATTTAAAAATTATTTTAATGAGCAGTAAAACTATTCATAAATTTTATAATTTAATAATTGTATTCATTCATTTGCACAGCTCGTAAATTAATTAATATATTAATTACAGAAATAATTAGTTATTAGTTTAATTATTGGAATATGCAAAGAATTCAAATGCAATTTCCTGATCAACATTTTATGCCTATGAACTTTTCGCTGAATGACTTTAATGCCAACATAAAATGAAAAATTTATTTCTTAAAACTCTGTTAATTAGGCATATCTATAACGGTTCGAGACTGTTTACTATTTCTAAAACTGAAACGAGTTCCATGGAAAAATCTAAATCTCATATAGAAATTGGTATGAAAATGAAGTAGTTAAAAAATTTCGCTCTCAAATGTCTGTCAAATAAATTGCAGCTATTAACCAGGCAAGTAGTTGAAGCCATCAAGTCAGTCTACTAGTTTGCTAGTTGGACTTCAAAATAATAAGTAGAAATTTTAGTTAGCAGGAATTGTATTCGTTGAACATAAAGGAATTGTAAATGCAAAAGTGGAAAAAATTAAGTTAATGAGATATCGTTCAAACGCCTTACTCTGAGTGCATAGCATATTAGCAACTTGTTAGAAAAAAAAGGCCTCCAGAAGTAACTGATTTCGCATCGTTAAACGTTCATTGAGTTCCGTTGCTAATATTATAAAATGCTGGCAGGGAGCTCAACACTTACATTTGATGTCTTAATTTATAGTTTTTAAATTGATTTTCTAACACAAGAATATAAAATTATAGAAATGATTTAATAGAAGCTTTGCTTTACTTTAGCACTTTATTGATTTCACATTTCTTAGTTTTGGTTAATTGTATATATCCATAAATAAATCAGAAAATGTGTGTTCTTTAAAAATCGAGTTATATTCGTGAACGTAACATTTAAAATATTAAAACGTGACAAGGTGTAAATATCAAACATTTACAGTAGTATTGGAAGTTAATGCGGTTCTTACACTTGCTAAAGGAATATAGTGCTTTACGAAACGCTCTCAGATCAATTTTAATTCTAAAACTTATTTTCTTCTTATTTTCTTATTCAAGACAGTTACGTATGTGATATTGAAATTTATTTCTTCGTCATGAAATTAAACTATTTGTCATTATATTTATCTTAGTTTTTATCATGTCTTAGTTTTCTTGACAAACGTTACAGTCCATGGTGTTTGGCCTGTGCTTCTGTTTCCCATTATTAGATTTTTGCACAAACTTATGTGACATCTCTTCAATGATATCCTTTCATTAAGGACACCTACTTTGAGATCGTGCCACATTTTTCTTGGCATGCCTCTTCCACACTCAACAATCGATGCCATATTTTACGTGTTCAATATTTTCTTTTGGATGTATTTTTTTTCATTTGGCAGGGTCATCTTATGAGTTGATCTTTAAACATTTATAGAAGATTCTACTTTTCTGCCATATTGTCAGGTTTGTGATTACAAACCCGTCTTCAGTAGAGGATATTTTTTAATAGCACTGGGTCATATAATTTTCAAAATACTCGTACCTCATTAGACAAAAGACAGCTTATATATTTCAAGCTATATATATTATATATTATATTTAATAAAATGGATATATTATATATTAAAATAATGTCTTTACACTTAAAAAACAAATATAATCTTTATAATTAATATATTATAAATATATATTACATATATTTCAACTGATTCAAATAGAAACAAAACCAGACATATTCCAAATTTTTTAAAATCAATTAATGCTAAGTTTTCCACAAGAAGTCCTAATATTAATTATCATCTACTGAGGGATAAAACTAATTTGGAAAATGATATAACTTTAAAAATGCTGATTATTAACTTTCTTTATTAGCACATCTTCTAGCTAGAATAATATTTAGAAATGGAGCTGGAATATGCTGTTATCTTTCATTTACTTATTAACTTTATGCAGAGCAAGAACAAAAAACCTTTTAGTCTATTTATATTAGAAAATTGCTAATATATGTAGTGTGGCTTTTTAGAAGCCACATGTAGAATTTCTCAGCTGGGAACTTGAATGTAATAGCATTGCAGTATTCTATATGATAGAAGCTATATATCAATAGGTTTAATATAATGTAATATATATTTATAAATAAAATGTATTACCAACTAATGTTAAATCACCACAGTGGGCCTTTATTTAAGCTCAAGTGGGCTTCTTGGAAGGAAGGCCGCCACTCCAAACTGCCAATTTTAATAAAACAATTGAGAAAATTCATTAATAATTATAAGGTTTATGTTAACATAAACTCTCAATGCAGGGTTCTGACTCTCAATGCAGTGAAACACCTCTTCTATAGCAAATATTCGAGAACAAAGCAATATCGTGGCTTAAAAACAGTTCTCAGTGATTCAGTGAAAACACGAGATCGCTCTCTCAAGAAGCTGAGAACAAATTGTATATAAAAATTATGACGGGGAATTTCTGAAACGGACTAGGAACTTTGAAGAAGAACATTATTAATGAAAATGGATCTACCAAAATATGTACCAAAATATGTAGAGTAGTGTTACCACAGCTAATAGAACTACAAGTATATCTGTGAATGCTAAAGCATTTGCAGAAAGTGTATCTTCTCATGTTGGATGCCATAAGCACAGTAAAACGTATAAGTAAAGGTTTTTTTATTAGTGTGAATAACATATTGAAGGTACAAAATAACAATATAACAAATTTTGAAACAGTTTCAATCCTTTAAATACGTAAACTCTTATTGTAAATATACCATAAGATGTAAATACTGATATAAAGCAGTTTTCGCTACTCTTTGACTAAATCTATGCATTCGAAGTGTATAACTTCATATATGTATAAAACTTATTTAATCTCTGAGTAGCAATATAACAGATGATTTAATATAAAATCGTACTGAAAATTATAAAAAAATCTATTTACACTTACAGTTAAATTATTTATTTAAATTTGAATTCTTTATAACGTAAATGAAAAATGCAACTACATGAGTGCCTTGGGCAACTTAGTCTTTCTAGCCTATTGAAGTGCATATTTTGAGTTGTTTATTCAGCTGACTTCATTGAATGACTTGGCCTGCTATATTTACTTTAAAATTTAATTAATTTCATTTACGTTTTATTTAATTTTTTATTTTTACTTGAATTTTTTAATAATAGCGTTCATGTGGTGAGCTGTTGCATTTATTTCCCATGCAACAAGTGCAGTTCAACGTGCCAAAAACAAAAAGGAAGCAATTTAAAACCTGGAAAATTTTAATAAAAATGCAATGCTCGAGCTACTCTGGATCATGGTCAGTTACACCCAACTTTATATATGTGGTCGGTTGGTCATACATGGCTACTTTTTAATAGTTTTTACCACTACCAAAATAGGTAGAAAAAAAATATGTAACAAAAGTGAATATATTCCGTAAAAGGAGTGGTCACATACGAAGCGTAAATGCAACAATAAATAATTTGAAGACTACATTTACCAGGAAAGACAGAAAGGAAAAATTTCACAGTATGTAAGCTTCAATATAATATACGAAAGTTCTAAAATATTTCCAAAAACTTGATGCATATAAAAGTGCATAATAGTATTATTAGCAGGTTTCAGTAGATGTCTTCTAAAAATGAATTGATGACTTAACGAAACTGTTTCTCATGCTATAGTAAAGCAATTATTGCCATTTTCGGGGTTGAAGTTGTATTCAATTTTTTCTCTCGTGTTATGTAGTACATTCTTCCCTACATATCCGACATAAAACAATTATGATTTTGATCATCTATTTGCCACTAATGACTCCGCCAGCAATACATAAATCTTAAAATACTTTTCATGTCTTCATAGCTGGTGTCTTCCGCATCGGTTTTTCGGTTGTTTTTAATCGTACATACAACAAAGTAGCAGCAAAAGTATTCCCACGTTCTAACAGGTGTGTAACACGCAGCTCAACATTCATCAAAGCCGCAGTTGGTAGTTGGGTGTTTTTTTCTGACGATAAACTCTGGGTCTTCAAGACAGACACGCTTCGTTAAATTTTCTTTATGTTTGTCAAAGTAATGGTTTTTTTCTTCTATTTTCTTCTGGTTGTGGTTGGTTTTCTTTTTGCCTATAGTTTTAAGATACATGTTACTTTATTGTTTTTATTTATTTTATTGTTAAAGATTTTTCCATGTATGTCTCTGG